AAAAAGCATGAAAGGGGAACAAAATTATAGTTGTATTGCAGATCTTCAGGGATGTGTTATCTGTCTTCTGAGAGTGCTTTTTGTCAGCCATCATCATGGACTGATACAGAGCAGTAGGGAGAAGAGAGGCCGGTCCTGATGAATTCATGGCTTAGTGACCACATTTAGTGTTTGCTGCCCTTGGAAGCATCCCCTGGTTTTAGTCTTCTGGAAGCTGGGGAAAGTGAGATTGGTTTTTGTAGGATGGATGCATCCTAGTGATCTCCAGGTTTGGGGTTTTTTTCCCCCTGACATCTCATTCCAGGAATCTCAGCACAGGAAGGGCTTGAAGAGAATTCAAATGCCTCTCATAGCAACGTGATTTATCTATTGATGTTGAGCATCTCTTATGTTTGTGTGTGTATACCAAGTGTTCTCCCTCTTTGATGACATGAAAGGCAAATACATGCATTTAGGAGCTTGTCAGCTCCTTTGCTGTGTGGTGATGCTAGTGAGCCTGTCACTTCCATGGTTTCTGAGGAAATCTTGGATCAAAAGAGGTATTTAGCTGCTTCCAAGTGTGTCAGTACACGTTCAGTCAGGCATCAGGAGTGAGGGAATTACCTGAGACTGAACATCTGCCTAAACATACTGAGTTTTCCTTCCCTGATTGTGGTAGAACTCAGTGCTGGAAAGGACAGGAAATTTCTTTTATGATCTGTCTCATTGTGGCAGTGATAGTAACACTCCTGGCTCTGCAGAGTATGGAGACTTTTGTCCTGGACTCCAGTGTTTGGTATTTTCCCCCTTCTGCATCCCTCTGTGTCCTTAAAGGTGTTGGTTGGATCTCCTCTCCTGCTCTGTATCTCTCTGTTCTCTAAAAGGTTTTGGTTTTCATAGTTTCATAGTATGTTCAGGGATTGGAATGGACCTCAGAGCTCATCCAGTCCCAACCCCCTGCCCTGGGCAGGGACACCTTCCACCAGAGCAGGTTGCTCAAGGCTTCATCCAACCTGGCTTTGAACACTGCCAGGGTTGGGGCAGCCACAGCCTCCCTGGGCAACCTGTGCCAGTGTCTCACCACCCTCACAGGAGAAAACTTCTTCCTAATATCTAACCTAAATTCCCCCTCTCTCAATTTCTCCCCATTACTCCTTGTCCTGTCACTGCAATTCCTAACCAAGAGTTCCTCTGCAGCTTCCCTGGAGTCCCTTCAGCTCCTGGTAGGTTACTCTGAGGTCTCCACACAACCTTCCCTTCTCTTGAAGACCATATTAAGGTCTTGAAGACAAATTAACCTCCATCCTAATATCTAAATTGCCCTTCTTTCAATTCATACCCATTCCCCATTTTAGTTGGACGTGCAGAGATCAATCATCTCACTGCTGACTATTCACAGAAGCTGTTCTGTCCCAGTGCCAGAATTTTCAAAAGGAAATTCCCAGTTTGGAATCACAGGGAAAACATCCTCCGGCAGGACAGGACTAAATGCTGAGTATCACTCTCGGGAGCTGTTAGTCTTCTATGCAGTTAGTCAAACAATGATGTGCATTATAATCGCAGTTAGCCAAACAATGCTCTGTGTTAGGAACTTAAAGGCAAAGCCCCATCCAGGGATTAACCCTCTCCCTGGGATCGCTGGTGTCTGTAGGGATGGTATTTCCTCCCCACAAAGGAGGGAGAAGCTGACAAAGCTGGAGCTGGGTGGGAGCCAGAGGTGTGGGCTGGGGGCTGCTGCTGAGTCAGGTTGTCACTTTGTGCATCTTGTCCCAGCCAGGCTTGTGTCTCTTTACAGCACCGTGTGCCAGAAATATGGCTACAGACTGGCTTGGAAGCATCGTGTCAATTAACTGTGGAGAAAGCTTGGGAGTCTACCAAGGAAGAGTGTCTGCAGTGGATCAGATCAGCCAGACCATCTCCCTGACACGACCCTTCCACAACGGGGTCAAATGCCTCGTGCCAGAGGTCACCTTCAGGTTAGTGGCTGCCTTTTCCCCCCCTGGCTTTTTCTAGGCAAGCTCTGTGCTGCTTTGGATGTTTTGTTTTCCCTAAAAATGACCTCTTTGCCTTAAATTTCCTGACTGTTCCTGAGTGCCTCTGGTGTTTGTGTTAGTTTGGGTGCAGGAGATTAATTCCTGGCTTGGATCCTAGAGTCAGGGTGGTGTAGCTCAGGCTTGGAGATTATTTGTGGGTAAGACTGTGTGTTTATATATATATGTATGTAATATTTATGTTCTATTTATATTAACATATTTATGTATTATTGTGTTTAGGCATTCTGTTATTAGGTTTGTTTTGTTAGCTGAGGGGATTGACAAAGCTTTTAAAGCTTTGCCCTCAGCAGTTCTTTCCCATCAGTTCCTGATAACACTGTGCTTGAAAAGCATAACTAAGAGTCACTTATCCCTGGACATTTTCCTGCTCCCTGAAATATTATAGTTAAGCCTCTGAGTCACTGACTTTTCAATAAAATGGACTCCCCAAAGTCAATATGCTTCATTTAGGTGGTTTGTTTTTTTTTGTCCTTGGATTTTGAAGAGAGACAAGGAAAAGTCAACAACCACATTCTTCAGGAGCTGTGTGGAAGCTTCTCTACTTTTATATCCCACTTGGACAAATCCTAAGTTGAAACCAGAAGTGCCTAATTCCTGATGTATTTCTTGCAGTCAGTGCAAATGGAGGTCTTTATAATCACTTCTTTGTTCTCTTCTGGCTCGTGCCCAGTGCCAGATTAGTTTCCTTTATCCTTCTCTTCTGTGGAAATGGGAAGTGCCTGAGCATGAACTGCACTAATCTATGGGTAGCTTTCTGCAGAAATGGATTAAAAGTAGTTGCCTCAAGGCTGAAAGTAATTAATTAGCTAGAAACTGAAATTAATACAGATTTCTGCAAGGGCTGAGCCAGTTGCTTCCATGTTTTGCTTGACTGATTCCTGTTTCAGCCAGGAAGAGAACCTTTCAACAAAATCCAGGTGCAGTGTAGGAATCCTGAGGTTATTTGGAAGATTCATGCCATTTCAGTTCAGATTGTGGAAACATTCTGAGTGAGGATTAAAATCCTTTCATTCCCTTGTTTCTGTCATCAGAACAGTCCCACTGGACAATGCTGGATGTTTTTCTTTAGGAGTTCTTTGTTGCAAAGGCATCTTGAGTGCTAAATTCCTGACTGTCTGGTTTTCTTGTCCTGTTTTTAGGGCAGGTGACATTACTGAGCTGAAGATCCTGGAGATCCCAGGACCAGGGGACAGCAGGCAATGTGGGGATGTGCAGCCCATGGAACCGTGCATCCCTGGAGTTGGGTGCCAAGTGGGGCCCAGCCAGAATGGCACTAGCAAGGTGGTAAAGAAGCCCATCTCCAGCACTGCCCCCCAGAATATCCCAAGGAGAACAGACATGAAGAATCAGGATGTTATCATCTCTCCACAGCAGCAGTGCTCCAAGAGCTACATGGATCGACACATGGAATCGCTGTCTCAGTCCAAAGGCTTCCGTAGGAGGCACAATTCCTGTGAGTATAGATGTTAACCTGCTGATTCCCTTTTTTACTGCCCAGGTTATGGCTGAAACATCTCCCCTCCTTCAGCAAGGACATTGCAGACAGGGCTGGAAAATTTGAGTGGAAACTTGGGTCCCTGGAAAACTTGTTGCTGGAATCTCGTGTTGCTACCTGAAGGTCAGGAGAAGGTTAAATAGTGAGGAGAAGAATTTCACAAGCTGTGCCTCAAAAATGTTATGAGTGTAGATCTTCCCAATTTCTGGCACTTACCTGTTGAGACCTTATGGTGTTGGGATTAGATGATGATCCAGGCTCATCCATCATGTTGAGTGTGCAAAGAACAGCACCCTTTGGGTCTCTACTGCAGCATTTCTGAGAGATGTTTACTTGATACCCATGTACCTAAAAAGCAAACACTCCTTTACCACTTTTTTTCATTAAAAGGAATTTTCAGGTTGAGTTAGCAGAGGTATTCCCTGTCCCACCCTGGATCCTGCTTCCCAGAATCAAACCTAATGCCAGTTACAATGATTTCCTGTCATCCATTGCCCAATTTTCAACCTCTGCTTTGCCTCTAAAAGGAACTGGAAACCAACTGCAATATTACCAAGCTTTTCTATTTAAAGCTTGGAAACACATGACCTAATGAGCATCACCCTGCACCCTATGAACATCACCCTGCACCTAATTCCAAATGGGATTTTGCTATACTGTTGAAACCCCAAATGAATGAGTGATGTAAAATCTAACCAGAGCATCCCAAAGTCAAACATCCATTATTTCTCTTGATAAAGTCTTCAAGATTGGGCCAAATTTGGGTCTGATTTGTTGTTTGGGTTTGTTTTCCTTAAAGCCCCCTGGGCTCTCCTCCTTTCCAAATTTCCATCATCCAGTTATCCAAATGTCAGGATGTATCCAGCATATTTCCATGACTTAATTGTTGGAGCATCAGTATTTCCATTACTTCATTTCGTGGTTAGAAAAGAAACAAACACAAGGAGGGCCAAGACAGTTAAACTGGGAGGTCAAAGACTTTCTGTGGAGAAATTCCTAGACCTCTGGAAACCTTTACCAACAGCTGGATTGTTTTTACCCCTGTCAGGGTGCCTGGTCAGTCTGGAGTGAGCAGTGAGTGCTTCAACCCCTAAATAGCTCATGTTGGGGTTACATAAGTACAGTAACAGCTCCTGTTTTCTTTGACAGACTTTGAAACGAGTTGGGCAAGGTCCTAGTTGTAGATTATTGTTAGCTTGGATAAATTTTGGAATAAATGAGGTGGAGAAGTGAGCTCTTCCCCTGAAAAATGTGTGTTTGGAAGAGTAGGGTGTAGGCAGCAGGGCAAGGGAGGGGATTCTCGTCCTCTGTATTTCTCCTCCTGCTCTTGTGGGACCTGTCTGGAGTGCTGCACACAGTTTTGGTGTCCCTAACATGAGAAGGACATGGAACTGTTGGAGCAAGTCCAGAGGAGGCTACAAGGCTGGGCAGAGGACTGGAGCACCTCCCCTATGAGGACAGGCTGAGAGAGTTGGGTTTGTTCAGCCTGGAGAAGAGAAGGTTGTGTGGGAACCTCAGAGCAACTTCCAGGTTCTAAAGGGGCTCCAGGGAAGCTGGAGAGGGACTCTGTGTTAGGAACTGCAGTGACAGGACAAAGGAACAATGGAGATAAATTGAAATAGGAAATTCAGATTAGATATCAGGAAGAAGTTTTTCCCTGTGAGGGTGATGAGACACTGGCACAGCTTGCCTAAGGAGATTGTGGCTGCCCCAACCCTGGCAGTGTTCAAAACCAGGTTGGGTAAAGCCTTGAGCAACCTGCTCTGGTGGGAGGTGTCCCTGCCCAGGGCAGGGGGTTGGGACTGGATGAGCTCTAAGCTCCATTCCAACCCCTCAACATTCCTGGCTAAAAGGTGATGCTTTAAGAGGAACAATTCACAACTTTGATCACAGCTTGTTGGAGGTCTCTGCCATGCTCTGTGCGAGTTGTGTGAGGAGGTTGCAGTGCAGGCAGTGAGAAGCCATATGGCTGTGTGGGTCAGCAGTATTCCCAAACTGGCATCCCTGGGGCTGGATTAGAGCTGCCCAGCACAGAGCCACCACGTCTCATTTTGATGAGGTATGCTCTTGGCTCCCATTCCTGGTGGCTGCAGGGGAGCCTGGGGAGCTTTCCAGCCTTTGTCCTCCAGCTTTTCAAGTGCAGCTTTTTATCCTATCAGCACTGACACACTGCTCACATCAGCTTCTCCTGTCCCCACTGGCCCCCAGTTTGGTTTTCCAGCTCAGCTGAGGGGAGTGTGGAATTGTTTGCAGAAGATCTGGCAAGGAACAACATGAGCTGCCCTAGCACTTGACACTGCCACAAGCAGCAGGATTCTTTTGCCATTGGGGCAGTACAGGCTCCAACTCACTCATCTGAACTCCAAGAGTTCCTTGGCTCTTCCTTACACCTGCAGTTTGCTTGTTGTATTTTCATGTCTTTTTCATTCCTCATAGCAGCAGTGGTGGATGCAATTCCCTCCTTGGAAGTGGCAGTTCAGAGCTCCATACCAAGTCCTGTCCAACTTTGGAGTGGTTTATATGTCACCTTTGCTTTGGGAGCACTTTATCTAGGGCAGGGAGTGAAAGTTGTTGGTAAAACTATGTCACCTTTGCTTTGGGAACACTTTATCTGGGGCAGGGAGTGAAAGTTGTTGGTAAA